AACCCACGTCTCTCTGCTGCTGGAGCCCATGCACGTAGCGCCTGATTCCCCCTACAAGAAAAGTGAGAAAAATAGTCCTTATGTCATCAGCAGTTAGGTGGATTAAAAGAGGTGATGGAGGTAAGGAAGGGTGGTGGAGAGTTACAGTTCCGATCATGGCTCTGGAGCCAGATTGCTGGGGTCCAAATCCAGCTCTGCCATTTGTGAGCTGTGTGATCTTAGGCAAGTTTCTTAATCTCTCTGTGCTTTAGTTCCTTCCTCTATGTGGTGGGGATAGTAATAATAACTACATTATAGAGTTACTGTGAGCATTAAAGTTACGGGCTAGCTTCAGTGCCTAGGTATATAGTAAGCACCCAATGCATGGTAGCCATGCTGTCTATAGCTGTTATGTCATTCAGCTAGTGGGTGTTGGAGCTGGTTTGGGAACCCGAGACTCCACCTAGAGCCCTTGGGCGCCAGGATTATGTCCTGTCTGAGCTATGGGGCTGGACTGGGGAATAGTTCTTGTAGCCTGCTTTGGTCAGTACTGTGCCGTCCTAATGTGGCTGCTTGCCTCCGGTACCCGTTTCTTCCAGCAATACCTGAACACCTTCTATGGCTGCCCCAAGGAGAGGTGCAACCTGTTTGTGCTGAAGGACACGCTGAAGAAGATGCAAAAGTTCTTCGGGCTGCCCCAGACAGGGGCCCTCGACCAGCGTACCATCGAGACCATGCGGAAGCCACGCTGCGGTAACCCCGACGTGGCCAACTACAACTTCTTCCCCCGCAAGCCCAAGTGGGACAAGAACCAGATCACATACAGGTGCCGAGGCAGGGCTGGGGCAGCAGAGCCTCTGGGCTATGGGACACAGGGTCCCCTTGGGCCTCTCCCCACTCTGGGGCCCCTGGAGGTAACTTATGAGGACTTGGCCTCTTAAGGAGTTTGCATACAAACTTCTTCGGAACCGGAGTCAGACAGACCTGGACTTGAATCTCACACTTACTAGGCGTGGGGCATCAGGCTACTTATTTTTCAGTGCCCTGAGCCTTGGCTTTCCAATCTACAAAATGGGGCTGAAACAAAACCTTCCTCCTAGGTTGGTTGGGAACCAAGCTGGATCACATACATAAAGGGCTTTCACAGTGTCCATTATATAATAACAGTGTAGTACATGCTAGCCACTATCGTTACCAGATGGGGTTGTTGGTGTAGGTAGAGGGAACTGGATGATTGGTTGCTAATTGGTTTTATATTACATTATAGAGTTGTTATAATTGGTTGTTGATAGGGCTGAGGGCTCTGTTCTGTATGGCTCATGCTAGATTCCAAGGATGAGCTCTCTGCCCTGTGTCCCATATGCACTGTTCATGTCCCTGTGTGTGTGTCCCCCAGCCAGAAATAAGGGATGAGAGTCCTCAGACAGGGCCTGATGATGTTGGCCTCTTAGGCTTTGTGCCCGGATTGGTGTGTAGGGGTAAAAAGGTCGCGCGCTGATGGTGCACGCAGAGGCCTGCGAGCAGCAGGCAGCCGGGAAAAGAGGCGGAGAAAGGAAAAGAGGATAAAAGAGGAGGGCTAATGGGGGAGTGGTGCCGAAAGAGGCGGGCCTGAGCGCGCCCCCTCCCCCCCCACCTCCCTACATTGCCAGCTCCCTCCCAGCCCAGCCGGCCACATCTGGCGGCTGCCCTCCCTTGTTTCCGCTGCATCCAGACTTCCTCCGGCAGTGGCTGGAGGCTGCGCATCTGGGGCTTTAAACATACAAAGGGACTCTAAGGACCGGCAAGCACAGGCGGTGGTGGCACGGGCTGGGGCGCGGGGGCCGGACCATGCGCGGCTGAGCGGGGCAAAGCAGAGGCCACCGAGTCTAGTGGTCCCTTGGAGCGCAGCGCTGAGTGGCGGAGCAAGCGCCAGCCAGGAGGCGAGTCGGCCACCCGCGCCGAGCCAGTGACCCCTGGGCAACGTGCGGGCCCGGGAGCGCTATGACCGATGCGCGAGTGGCCCGGGGCGCGCTCGCCGGCCCCCTACGGGCGCTTTGCGTCCTGGGCTGCCTGTTGGGCCGGGCTGCCACCCGGCCGTCTCCCATCATAAAGTTCCCCGGAGATGTCGCCCCCAAAACGGACAAAGAGTTGGCTGTGGTGAGTTGCTCCGCGGGCCTCAACGANCCCTGGAGAGGGACAAGGGGGCTTTGGCTGACCCTGTGTGAAAAGAATAGGCACAGTCTATAAATCCAAAATTCTCAGGAGAAGGAAAAATCAATATGTGCCATTTCCCAGGGCTCTCAGCCCCACCATGGGATGTCCTAAAAGTTTCCATCGCCGGGGCCAGGGCCTGACCCCTCTCTTGTCTCCTTGTCTCTCTGCCCCTCCCCTCCCCTCCCTCAGGGTACAGCCTGTTCCTGGTGGCAGCCCATGAGTTTGGCCACGCAATGGGCCTGGAGCACTCGGAGGACCCTGGAGCCCTGATGGCACCCATTTACACCTACACCAAGAACTTCCGCTTGTCCCAGGATGACATCAAGGGCATTCAAGACCTGTATGGTAAGCTTGGGGCTTTGGGGCGGGGGTGTGGGAAGCCATGCAGCCTGGGATGGAAGCCCAGGGAGTGGAACCAGCAAGGTCCCCTCTATCCAGGATGGCAAGGGGCAAGTGCAGGAGGCAAAAGTGTTGACCTGGTCTGAAAGAGTCGGAGCAACACTCCAAGGGGACCCTGGGATAGTCCCTTTCCTCTCCAAATGATATCAGTGTTTGTGCCCCTTCTGGTTCCCCAGTGCCATGCTGGGAGGCAGGCAGGGCGGAAAAGGGGCTGTCCATCTTCTTCTAAGTGAGTAAACTGAGGCCCGAGGAAGGTAACCTTTCTGGTCCAAGGCCACCAGGGTCCAGCAACTAAGCTGGGTTTAGAATCCAGGAGAGTTAGCTAAATACAGGGTAGAATTTCCCAGCATGTNAGGGACTGTTCCATCTGCCTCTCTTGGTTGCTGTCTGTCTTTGCTTGTGTCTGCATCTCTCTATTTTGGCAAAGGCATTAGAATTGACTCGGTATTTGTGTGTGTGTGTTTGTCAATGCTCAGGACATGAAATTTTCAGATACATATTTTGAAGCCATATAGGAGGAAAAAATTTTTAAAGGGGTAAAGGTATTGACATACACAGTTAATTCTTTTTAAAAATATCCTTGACACACTTCACAATCAGAAATCATAAAATGATAGTATGTATAACTTCATACTTGGTCAAGTTGTCTGTCATCTCTGATGATTCTGGAGATTGAAAGCCTAGAACATTAGAAGAAGATGGGAGAAAATCCAAACGTTTTTCTAAATACTCCTTTCTCCCTCATCCTATAAGGACTCCTTGATCTATATATTTTACATGTTTGTGAATGTCTCTGACTCCATTGCAACTGGACACAGACCCCCAGCCACAGGATACCTTGTATTAAGTACGAATTTCCAACCTTTGACCATTAATAAGTCAGAAATTTTAAATAGAAATGTTTTATGTATCTTGCATTTCCCAATAGGGATTCAGGCGGCATTAACCCTCCCATGTGTCAACCCCTGTGACTAGAACAGAATGCCTTGATGATAGAAGTGGAAACAGCTGTAATTCATTTGGTCGGGAAGGGTTTTTCCCTGTGTTGGACATCAGCCATTTGCTTGGTCTGTAGCCAGATGCAAGTACGCACAGCATGCACGTGTTTGGGTCTTGGGGCAGAGGTTCTGGTTATTCAGCCCCTCCTGACTGCTGAGTCAGTGTCTGTTTTTCTTCATCCTTGTTGGGGGCAGGATCTGGAGGGAGATGGGGGCTTCCTGGGTGGTAGAAATGCAGCTTGATGGGAGGCCAGAGGTGGAGGCTGGCCTCTGTGGAGGTTAACGGTTCACCTTTCCCCACCCGGAGGCCTCCACATCATCTGGCCTCAGTTTTGCCTCTTCCCTTAGTTCCATTGTTTCTGGCGTTGTGGGAGAAGGTCCCTTGACTGGGGAGAGGGAAGCAGTGAGGACAAGGGGCCCAGGTCCTGTCGTGGGCAGTGGGGCAGGGACCGGGCTCCATTCTGGTTCTGGTGGAGTTAACAGGGGCTGCTGAGGTCACTTCTGGCGCCGTTGTGCACAGATGGTCCTTGTTACGCACTTGTGGTTTTGCTAGTTGGCAAATCTAGAGACACACCATTTTGTAGCTTTGGGGTAGATGAGGGCACGGGGAGCAGGGGGAGAACCCAAGACAGACAAGCCCAGACTCTGAATCCCACTCTCTCCCCAAAGTCTCCAGTCATGACCTCTGTCTTGGGGAGGTCAGAGTGGGAGCCTGAGGTGTGTAAGAAAAAGTTCCCAAAGACGCCACCTCCTCTCCCTCCCTCCTCCTCCCCCTCCTCCTCCTCTGCTTCCTGCAGGGACCACAGCAGAGCCATCCAGGAAAATGCCTGGGGTTTAAAGGAGGTGAAGCTGTGTGTGTGTGTGTGTGTGTGTGTGTGTGTGTGTGTGTGCGCGCGCGCGCAGGACAGAGACTGAGATTAGCGTGTTTTGTAACTTTTAGTTACACCCCTCGTCCAATTCTTCCATTTATGTGACCATGAACGTTTCAGAACCCATCTTTCTCAGTGCCTCAGCTTCTCTGTCTATCGAATGGAGAGACTCTTGTGATCCTGCCGACCATGGATGATGTAGTTGGCGATCCACACAGTGTGGGCATCAGCCAGGCAGAGTGGACAGTGACCGGGGCGGGGGCAGAGTTCTCGAGGTTCCCTGCTGTGTGCCACATGTTCACCATTTCATTGTGGGTGGAGGGTTTATCAAGTCCCAGGGGAAGAAGGGGGTTGGCCAGGAAGCCAGGGGTGGTCCCCAGGAACTCAGAGAAGCAGCAGTTTACCAACCAGTGTAGATGATTTTTAATATTTTAACAGCCTCACTGGTGTGAACTGGCAGGTTGGTGGCCAGCCAGCTCTGTGCCCACCCGGGTGCCCCACTGATCTCCAGGTGGGTGGTCTGTCCCACGTTCACGCCCTCGCCCTCTCTCCCTACTCCTAGCCCTGCTCACCCTGGGTGGCAACGGCGACGGACAGCCCTGCAAGTTCCCGTTCCGATTCCAGGGCACAACCTACAACAGCTGCACCACCGAGGGCCGCACTGACGGCTACCGCTGGTGCAGCACCACCGAGGACTACGACCGCGACAAGAAGTACGGCTTCTGCCCGGAAACTGGTGGGTGTCCCCCCTTTGCCTCTGGGCCCTCTGTCCCCATCCATGGGAGGCTGATTAAAGCTCTAGGTTCTGGCTACCTGGGTTTGAACCCCAGCACTGACCCTGCCTAAGAGTATCTGCTCAGGCAAATTTCTGAATCTCTCTGAGCTCCGGTTTCCCCATCCATAGAAGGGGGGTAACACACGGTCCCAACTGCACAGGGTTGCTGTGAGGGAGGCACGACGTGTATAAAGCACTCAGTGCAGCACCCAGGACTGAGCAAGCCCTCAGTGAGTGTGGTTGTTAATGTCCAGATCATGTTGTTGTTCCCTGGTGGTGGTGCGCTCGGACCCTCACTGCCCCTAACCGTGTTCCTAACTCACAGTCATGTCCACGGTCGGCGGAAACTCAGATGGTGCCCCCTGTGTTTTCCCCTTCACCTTCCTGGGCAAAAAGCATGAGCGCTGCACCAGCGAAGGCCGCGGTGACGGGAAGATGTGGTGCTCCACCACGGACAGCTACGACGACGACCGCAAGTGGGGCTTCTGCCCCGACCAAGGTACAGAGCTCTGGCCGTGGGGCAGACACACTCCCCCCGCGCCCACAGCTGGGCTGGAAACCTTCCTGAGTCCCCACCCACCTCAGGCATCAGCAGTGCCCCCCAGGTACTCACTTACCTGGTAGAGACATTAC